ACACGCGGGACCCAGCGGCGCAGCAGTTTGAATCGCGAGCCAGTGGGCTCCGCACGCTCATTGGACGGCGCGGCGGCACGTGACCAGAACGGGGCGGGCGGAAGGCGGGCAGCACCTAGTAGACCTCCTGCGGCAGAGGGCTCTGCCTCTAGAGACCAAAGTCAGCTCCCCACTCTAGCTGCACGGGGCACGCATACGGGAGAAGGGTGGGCGTGACTGACGGTATCGGGCTGCTTCATCCCCGCAGCCAGCCCACTACACACGCTTGCTTTCTAAAAGGGTCAATTTAAGTGTGTAATTAATCCTGTGACAGAAACGGGGCTGCACTGGGTAGACTTTGCAAGTGCACCTGGAACCTGGAGGTGCTGCTGGAGCTGAGAAGTGGTGAAATGCAGCAAGGTAACAGCCTGTTTCAAGCGGAGGGATATTTATGAACGAGATAAAGAGCACACACAAATGTGTAGTTAGGTGTAAGTGCAGAAAAGAGCCGCAATTCCTTTTATGGTTTCTTCCCTTGATAGAGAATCTTTTTTTTTTTAATTAAATTCGAGTTCTGTGTTTTGTGTTGTATTGAAATTTCAGTTCTTTGCTATAGAGTTATGAATTCTTTTTTGTTACTTAGACAGTCCTACCCCTAGGAATTGCCAGTCTAATTTAGCAAAAGGAACAAATGAGGTCATGACTCTGTATACCCAGGACTTAAACTGTCATCAAATTTCATCACCCCCAGTAAACCAAGAAGTCTAGGCAGGAGGATGGCATGTTCGAGGCCAGCATGAGCTATGCAGTGAAATCCTGTCTCTTACTAAAAGGGGGCAGGGAGGAAACTCCCTTATTATCCTATTCTTATAATCCCTCTCCCTCATTTGCTACTTTGGGTGTATATTTAGCAGCATTTAGAGAATCCAAAAAATTCCCAGAGTGACAATCTATTACTTTTGGGGGAAAAAAAATCAATAAAGATATTTTGTTTACTTCCACTGAGTGAATTCTCATCACAATATGTATTTTTTTCTTTAACCTCTAAATTCTACGGAAGAGGTCTGCATGTCTTTGGCAAGGGCTGCTAAAGGCTGCCTGTGCCTTTGGCACAAGAAACAAAGAGAAAAGAAATTTTAGAGCCTTGACCACCGGGACCTGCCACCACCTACTATAGCTGGGCTGCAAGAGGAACCAAAGTAATTCCATGTTAAACCTAGGACAGTAGTTTTACTTTAAAAAAACCAATCATGGCTTTAATCATTGTGCAGAAACCCAGTCTTGAGACTACAACTCAAGAAGCAGATAGGCTTGAAGAAGATTTAAAAACTTCTGCCCTGATGATCAGGTGCCATAACCCAGCTGCAGCCGAAAACAACCCTGACATTAGCAAGCTTATCTATATTTAGAATTATTTGTATTTTAATGTCTACCTCTACAATCATGGTTATCACATAAAAGGATTCCATCTTCTGAGAACAGGTTGTACCTTTGTGGGGATTTTTTTAAAGAATTATTTTTATTTAACTTTATTATTATTATTTGAGAGACAGAGAGAGAGAGAGAGAGAGAGAGAGAGGAAAAGTGAGAAAGCAAGGCACCAGGTCTGGGATTTGAACCACAGTCAGCCATGTGGGAGTCTAGCACCCTTAACTCCACACCACTTGCCGGCCCCTGTGGGGAGGTTTTCTGGTTCTCAAATATATGGGAAGCCCCTACTGATATTTTGTGGGTATAGGCCAGGAAAGCCAGATGTTTTTCAATGCCTAAAGCTGTGCAACCAACTATCACCCCATGTTCTGCAGCACCTTTTTTTCCCTGTTGTCAGAGAGCACGTGTGCTCATCAGCAAGACATAGAGAAGGAGGGCGAGAAAGCACCCTCCACTGGGGCACTGTCACACCACAATCCCTATCCTCCATCTTTCCATGCCTTTGGGACCCTGGCATGCACATACATGCCTGGCACGCCTCCCACATCACTAGGCTGGGATTCAAACCACAATTGGCTGGATGGAATCTGGCTCTCCCCAACCACTAGGTGATGAGGGATGGCTTGTTCTGCATCACTTTTTAGTGTCTCACGGGACATTGAGGTAAATGAAAAACCTGTTGTAATTATCTGAACCTAGAACTTAATTCAACAGGATTGATTTATTTTAAAATTCAACATAAAAGGAAGTTGAATAAATTATATATCTTTGTTTCAATGTTAAAATGTTTTAATTTACGCTTGAGCAAGATGAAAGTGCAAGGGAGGTTCTACAGTTTACCTCATAAGTTCCTATATCTTAGCATATCATGAGCTTCCCCTTTTTCCTTCCTAGAGGTACCTCTGTTGAATAAACACATAAAAAACCTAGTTCGTTTTTCTCTGTGACTTACCTTCTAGGAACTTAAAGTTGGCTACTTTTGGGGTCAATTGCTAACAACTATAAAAATGTAGTTGTTTCATCTTTCTACTTTATTCTGTGGTTTTATGTAATACTGTAAACTACCTCAGATCTTTTTTAGGAAGAGGCACCCACTTCTTATAAGAAATAAATTGCAGGGCCAGCAGGTGGCAGAGTGGTTATGGCAGCTGGATTCCCACAGTTCCAACCTGAGGGCCTGCAGTTGACAGTTGGCATGGTGATTAAGACAGCTGGACCTCCACATGGCTGACCATGGTTTGATTCTCAGACCTGGCAGCTTGCTTTCTCACTTTCCTGTTCTCTCTCTCTCTTGGTCTCTCTCTGGTCAACTTAAAAAAAAAAAATGACAGTGAATAAAATTTTTTAAAAAATTCTTTAAAAAAGAACAATAAAAAAAAAAGGGGGGGGGAATCCCAGAGCTGGTGCCTTGAAAATCATACCAGATGTGTGTGTGTACATACACAAAATCCTGAGAGGAGGACAGAGAAGAGATTGTGTAGAGCCATCCCCTCTGGGGGGTTGATTTCTCACTTTCTCACTCTCTGTCTTACTCTGTCTCTCTCTTCTATAGTAAGCACCTATGGCAAAAAATTAAAAACTAAAAACAAACAAAAAGAAAGAAAGAAATTTCAATTCTTACATTTGTAAAAAGCTTTCAAAACTTTCTCATATCATCTCATTTGATGGTCACATTTGCTTGGATATTAAATATGAATGCTCCTACTGTACTGTTGATGAAACTGAATGGTTTAAATT